CCCCCCCCCCCCCCCCCCCCCCCGGGCGGGGGCCCAACCAAGTAGAGATACTTGAAAGTGCAAACAATGTGGTGCATCAAGGTACAACAAATTGCCTAACAGCCATTCATTAAAATGCTCTCACCTTCAACAATATATTAGCCATGTACCAAAAAGTCTACAACAAATTGTCAAAGTGAACTCCAATATACGATAACCAAAACGTCGAAAGAACAATGAAGCACAAGTATCGGTTTAATGTCCATATAGATGCTAATTATGATTACCTGTTTAGGGGGGAGGTTAAATACTTTACCACCAATGGTAAAGGAAACACTGGGCATTGAAGACAGATTGCTACAGTCAACAGCTGATTCTCCATTTGGACTAGGCAGTCGTTCACAGAGCTGCAGTCAAACTCAAGGGTTGAGCCCACAGCAAATCAACTTTTTTGAGAAAAATAAGATGCAGAAGCTATACTCCACCTGATTGACATAGTCCAAGATTTTTTCTTCTGTCTCATTTCGCTTAAGTCGATTTTGCATCCACACAACTGCCATTTGACAAGCGGTACACATCTGGTCATGCAGAGCACCAGAAGGCTTATCACTGCCCTTGTCCACCACGCTCTCTATAATCATACTGTACACAGATCATCGGAATTTATTAGTGGCTCAAATTTATATTGCTGACAAACTCACAATAAAAAAGAAACAACATTTGATGAAATAATCACTGCAAAAACAGTTGCTACCATTTTACCATTTTAGAACTTGTAAAACAAAAATAAGTTGTAGAAAAGGGCAAACTTGAGACTAATAACTTGTGATTGCAACAGCCCTTAATGGAGCACAATGGCAAAACATGATTCATGTAACCGACCCCAAAAATACTGAGAGAAGGGTTTGTTTAGTAGTGAGTAGTAACTAACTTACGATTGCAACAATTGAGGGTAATAATGATGAAGTTGTTTTTACAATAATAATATGAAGTGGATGTATAGTGATGCTTAAATTGTAATACTATTACTATTTTTTCATCTTTATAATGCAAATAAGACAAGAAGTTGAACCTGACCTAACATCTCGAGTACCATCATAAGAGCATAGACCAATTTGGGAGCATATCTTTTGGGCTTGTACCTGTGAAACACCACCATTTAAACCAGAAATCAGTCATATTGTGTGGTCAATCTAAAATAAAATGTGGCAGAAGTGATTAACCAGATAATAGCAGACGAATTTTTTCCCTTATAATCAATCACACAGAAATGTGGTAATTTGTCCCAAAAACAAGAAATAGTCAAAATAAAGAAGAAGAAATTGAAACCATATATGATAGTTTACCTCAGACAATAGAAGTTCCAAAATGTTTTTCCCATATTGGGTGACCACTGACTTGCATTCCTGGCTTATAACCCCTGAAGCTCCAATGGCATGATTAATTTGAGCAATCACAGTCTGAAAATATAATAATTGTTGAAAGGTATTAATCGCAGGTTGCGCATTTATGGAAGACAGATGATCACGGATTACCAGAAAAATGAGGATGTGCACAGAAAGACAGCTGATGCATGTACATAGAATATGCCAGAGCTGTTACTCTACCCCAACTGTTTAATGAAACAAAATATCCAAAGAATCCTCAAGAAAAAANGGACAGATGATCACGGATTACCAGAAAAATGAGGATGTGCACAGAAAGACAGCTGATGCATGTACATAGAATATGCCAGAGCTTTTACTCTACCCCAACTGTTTAATGAAACAAAATATCCAAAGAATCCTCAAGAAAAAAACATATCAAACAAATACAGATGAGATATGACACAGTATAATCCTAAAAGTACAACAATAAGGCATATGCATAATGCCTTTACATTGTCACTATCCACTTGGAAATATACCATATTACTGTGGTAAAAACGCACAAAAAGCTACAATAAGTAGGACAGTCCGCAATCACTAACCCCCTGGGAAATTGACACCACAACTAGGTGTCATAGGGAGCCTAAGTGAAGACCTGCATTACATGACCTCAGATGCAGGTGTAGGCAAACCATTAAGTGGCTTATGTGTTTTGGGGCTTAGTATTGGGGGTGTGACTGCATTGTGAATGCATCTGTTTTCTACTCGTGAACCTTGTTTTTATGGTAAGCAATAGTTGGAACCTTGAGTAAAAATGAGTAATTTGTGCTACACAGCCATTTTAGTAATGATTTCTTACTCTTAGAAAATAACCAGGTCAATTATCAAGTCAAAGCAAAGAGAGGAATGCGAAAGCCAGAGGGGCTTAAAAGCTCAATGCTGAACACTTTTTCTATTGATGGTAGCAGCTTATTCTTGTAGATATGATTTTTTGATGGTGTACATGGAAAATAGGTATTTAGCAAAGGTTCTTGCTTTCTGTAGTCTGACACTCCATTTGTCCAACAGAAGTTCACAATGTAGGTGGCCACCTAAACAGACATCTTTATAAGTCTAACAATTTTTTTAAGCGCTTGAAAAGACAATAAGCACTAATGTCACGTGACCCAGTTCCAGGATTTCGAAACATTTAGGGATAAATTCACAGCAAATTTCACTGAGCTTTGTTAAGTTTAGAGAATTAACACAATATTAGAGAGAAAACTGAGAGTGGTTAAAAACATAACTTAGCTCTCATACATCACTTGTATTTATAATTAACCTACAATAATAAGAATTACACATACACCCTCTTATTATTAACAATTTACACGTACTATTCTACTATTTTTAACACTCTCCCTCAAGCTAGACTATATATATCATATAATCCAAGCTTGGAACAAATAGCCGTAAGACGTGTACGGTTCAATGCTTTGGTAAACATATCTGCAAGCTGATCTTCAAATTTCACAAATGGAGTTGTAATTCTCCCAGCTACTATCTTGTCCCGAATAAAGTGACAATCAACCTCAATATGTTTGGTCCTCTCGTGAAACACAGAATTGGCAGCGATATGGATAGCTGTCTGGTTGTCACAGAACAACTGTAAAGGAAGTTGAACTGCAAACCCAATTTCTTGGATGAAGTGAAGTAGTCTAGTCAACTCACTCGTCGTATGTGTCATTACCCTATATTCAGCCTCAGCACTGGATCTTGCTACCATGGGTTGTTTCTTACTTTCCACGAGACAACATTACCTCCTAAGAAAGTACAATAACCAATGTTTGATCTCCGATCAGAATGAGAGTCAGCCCAATCAACATCTAAGAAACCTTCCACTCTAAGATGTCCATTAGCTCGATACAACAGTTCAAGTCCAGGAGCTCGTTTGAGATATCGCAGAATATGAGTAACTGTTTCCCAATGTGGTACTCTAGGACATCCCATTAACTGACTTACTATACTAACTGCATAGGAAATATCCGATCAAGTAATAGTGAGATAGTTAAGCTTCCCAACCAATTTGCGATACCGACCCGGATTCTCAAACAATGTACCATTATCCATCAATAATTTCTAATTCGGATCCATAGGAACATCAATCGGTCTACCACCCAGCAAACCTGCTTCCTCAAACATGTCAAGTACATATTTCCTCTNTCGACCCGGATTCTCAAACAATGCACTATTATCCATCAATAATTTCTGATTCGGATCCATAGGAACATCAATCGGTCTACCACCCAGCAAACCTGCTTCCTCAAACATGTCAAGNCCGACCCGGATTCTCAAACAATGTACCATTATCCATCAATAATTTCTAATTCGGATCCATAGGAACATCAATCGGTCTACCACCCAGCAAACCTGCTTCCTCAAACATGTCAAGTACATATTTCCTCTGGGATAAACAAATACCCTGTTTAGATCGAACCACCTCAATATCCAAGAAATACTTGAGTTTTTTCAAATCCTTAGTATGAAATCGATCCTGTAAGAATATTTTTAACTTGGCAATCCCCTCAGAATCATTTCCAGTAATCACAATATCATCTACATAGACCACCAATAGGACATATCCAGCATCTGTCTGTCTATGAAACACAGAATGATCTGTCTGAAATCAAAGAAGACCAAACTCTAAAACTGCATCTGAAAACTTACCAAACCATGCCCTTTGTGACTACTTCAAACCATACAAAGATTTCTTTAACCGACATGCACTCTTACCATACTCTCCCTGAGCAGTAAACCCAAGTGGCTGCTCCATGTATACCTCTTCAACCAAGTTACCATATAGGAAGGCATTCTTGATGTCTAATTGAAACAAGGGTCAATCAAGATTAGCAGACAAAGAAATCAAGATACGAACAGAAGAAATTTTGACAACAGGAGAAAAAGTCTCCTCATAATCAACACCATAAGTCTGAGTAAAGCCTTTTGCAACAAGTTGGGCTTTGAGACGCTCCACAGAACCATCTGGACAAAATTTAACAGTATTCACCCAACGACAGCCAACAGTTCGTTTACCAGGGGGTAAAAGAACGAGATCCCAAGTCTCATTATGATGTAATGCATCCATCTTCTCCTCCATAACTTTCCACCAACTTGGATCAAATATTACATCCTGTAAATGCTTAGGAATAAATATAGCAGATAATTGGGAAGTAAAACTGGAGAAGACAGGAGACAAGGCATCATATGTAACAAAATGAGAAATGGGATGATGAGTAACACACGAACGAGTACCTTTACGAAGAGCAATAGGTAAAGAATCTAAATTACCTGATGTACCAGGATCAGAAGGCGGCAAAGAAGATGGTACGTGCACCTCAGTCGATGGGCGAGGACGGCGAGAGTAGACACGGAGAGATAAAATAGATGGTAACACAGTGGGCAGCGGAATATCTGAAGATGAGGGAAGAGATGGTAGTACAAAAGATAACCCAAAGTTCAAATCCAAAGGCTAAGAAGGTGCTAAAAAATATGAAACAGATTCCTCAAACGTGACATCGGCACTAGTAAAGTATTATCGCAGAGAAAAACTGTAGCAACGGTACCCCTTCTGTGTGCGGAAATAACCAAGAAATACACATTTGATAGCTCGAAGGTCAAGTTTATCAAACTCAGGACCTAAATTTACATAACAGACACATCCAAAAACCTTAGGAGCTAGGAAAAATAAGGGCTTACCAGGAAAAAAGACAGAATATAGATTTTGCCTATTTAACACAGAGGATAGCATACGATTAAGAAGGTGACAATCAGTAAGAATAACATCACTCCAAAATTATCGAAAAATATTCATCTGGAACAACAGAGCACAGGTGACTTCCAACAAATGACGATTTTTGCATTCAGCAACACCGTTCTGTGGAGATATGTAAGCACAAGAAGTCTGAAGAATAATGTCAGTTTTACTAAGATAAGCTGAAAAAGGATCAGATTCATTTTCCCGAGCATTATCAGAACGTAAAATACGAATACGACAAGCATACTGAGTTTTTATTTCCTTACGAAAAGTCTCAAAAATAGAGAATAATTCAGACCGAGCTTTTATCAAAAACAACCAAGTCACACAAGAATAGTCATCCACAAACGACACGAAATAAGGATATTTATTAGACGAAATATTTTTTATTAGACCCCATACATCAAAATGTACCAACTCAAATGGACTAGACACACGATTATTGACTCTAGACTGAAATGGCACACAACTAAGGCTGGGGAACTTGGCGCTTCAGATTCTGAAGAGAGGGATGTCCAAGACGACAATGCCACTGAAAAGGAGACAGCGAGGTCTGTAAAGTCCGAGTAGGTGAATCAAAATCAAAGTAATATAGTCCACCATCTTCATGCCCTGTATCAATCTTCCTCTTCGTCTTGAGATCTTGAAAGATACAATAAGAGAGATAAAAAGTTACAGAACAATTGAGAGAACGGGTAATCTTGCTAATGGAGAGTAAACTAAAAAGAAATTGAGGAACAAATAATACGGAAGATATGGACATATCAGGACTCAAGTTAGTAGTCCCCAAATCTGAAACTTGAGAACAAGTATCATTAGCAAGAGTAATACTACGTGTGGAAGTAGCAGACTGATAAGTAAAAAAAATATCAAACACATCAGTCATGTGGTCAGAAGCACCAGAGTTTATGATCCAGGGACTGCGATTGGAGGACAATAAACAAGTGGAAGCATTACCTGACTAGGCAAAAATAGCAGTGGAGGGAGATAGGACAACCTGTTGCTGGGACAGGAACTGAACATACTCCTCTCGTGTAATAGTAATCAACCCCGTGTCTTGCTCGAGTTCCATAAGTGCAGCAAATAGAAAAGAGAAATCACTAGCTCACTGAATCGGACAAGAATTACCTACTGCACTGCTGAACCGAAGAAGAAAAGGTTGCTGGATCACCAAACTAGACTGAAAAATCTCACTGGAACACTAAACCGGATCAGTTAAGTCCACTGGACCGCTGAACCGGACCAGAAAAGGGTACTGGCCCACTGAACCAAAGAAGAAAAGGCAATTGAATCACTAAACCGGAGCAGAAAAGGGTACTGGACTGCTGAACCGGAGAAGAAAAGGCTACTGAATCACTGAACCGGGGTAGAAAAGCTAGCTGGATCACTGAACCAGGCCGGTTTGGCTTGCTGGATCACTGAACTGAGCCGGTTTGGCTTGCTGGAGCACTGAACCGGGCCAGTTTTACTTGTTGGAGCACTAAACCCGAGTCAAAACTGTCTGAACCGGTCTAAATCGGTCTAAAACACAGATAGGGGGCTGAACCGAGACCAAACCAAGGTTGGGTCAGATCTAGGTTGACCCGAAGTGGGTCGGGGTTGGGCTTTGTCTTCTTCGTTGGTTAGGGTTCCAAAGAACCCTTTGCTGCAATTGCGCCTCACCACCAACGATGAACAACAAGCCACCACAATAGCCACACCACAGACGACGACAATCAATCACAACACAGTGAACAACGACGAAATTCGACAACACAACGAATTTCGACAACACCACCATAGACCACCAACGAATTTCGACAACACCACAATAGACCACCACCGACAACACCACCACACACAGTGAACGACGAACACAGTACCACACCANGAATTTCGACAACACCACAACAGACCACCATCGACAACACCACCACACACAGTGAACGACGAACANCGATCAATCTTATAATGACGGAATGGAATACAATAAGGGGAAAAGGCAAGAGTGTATCAGGTTTTTGATCAAGTAATTGTCTTTGCAGGATGCACTAACATACCAGAGAGGAACAACATTTCCCACAGAGATCNGCAAACAGCAACAACGACAAACTATACACAGAGCTACAACATTCGTATCACTACCACCACCGTTGTAGCTTCGACGATCAACAGTACCATCGAAACAATTCGAGTTAATTTATTTTCAAAGTATATTTAGGATTAAACTAGGCTCTGATACCATGTTAAGTTTAGAAAATTAACACAATATTAAAGAGAAAATTGAGAGTGGTTAAAAANGTTCAATTAAGCCTAATCTTTTAAAAGACTCAAAACAAAACTTGTAGACCCAGATTCAATTAAACCCAATTTTCCTTTGGGCCCCTAGATGATCTCCTCTCCTCTCACCAATTAACACAACTCTATTTGATTNAAATTAACACAATATTAAAGAGAAAATTGAGAGTGGTTAAAAACATAACCTATCTCTCATACATCACTTGTATTTATAATTAACCTACAATAATAAGAATTACACATACACCTCTTACTATTAACAATTTACANGAATTAACACAATATTAAAGAGAAAATTGAGAGTGGTTAAAAACATAACCTAGCTCTCATACATCACTTGTATTTATAATTAACCTACAATAATAAGAATTACACATACACCTCTTACTATTAACAATTTACACATACTACCCTACTAGTCTTAACAAACTTAAATTAAATTGATCCAACCAAACTACGGACGTAATGACGCATTTGTACCTTCTACAAATTACTTTACAAGATGACAAGGGTGCTTCATTATGTCCCACAACATACTTAAACTATGTATGCATACAAATATGTAAAGCATACATATGCATGAAAATTTGTGTATGTGTTTGTGCATCTGCAGGATATTTCCAGATGTACAATACCAAACCAGAAATTAATGTAAAACTGTAAAAGCATGGCGAAGAAGGGTACAAAATCATCCATGACCAATTTGACAATAACAAGAACTTAGAAAAATTTATTAAAACATTTATCTGTTTCCATTTACAAATAAAACTGACAGGCATGCCCGAACCAACCAACTTAAATTCAACAATACCAACTCAAACTTATTTAATGCTTAAATACATGTTGTCTGCACATAATACATACCGTTGGTCCTGCCAACAAAGAGGTTCCAGAATCGGCAATTGCTGAACAGCCACCAGAACAAAACCCTAAAAGAGGAAAGAGTTATCTCTCAAGAGCATAAGAAGCACAACTTGCTCCAATGATTTGATATGAAGCGGAAAACCTCATTCAATGTCTTCTAGCAAGGACAAACAGGGGCTCCATAAACTTACCAGTTGTTTCACCATCAACTAGGACATCACCCATGTCAAACTGAAATAGGGAAACAATAAAATTCAACAAAAAATATAAAGTATAGTATGTTGATACATGATTACTCATGGCAAACAATTAGGAAGTCTAAGAAGGCCCACCTGCCAATAGCCTTTCTCGGTCACAGGAACATAGTTGTGCTCACCCTTGAAATGACTATAATCAACCCCACCAAAGACAATTTCACCCCCTTCTTCCTCGTCAGCATTGCGATTAAACCAAAAGGAAAAAACTGGTTTTTTAACAAGACCTTGATTGACCATATTGTCNGGATTAAACTAGGCTCTGATACCATGTTAAGTTTAGAGAATTAACACAATATTAAAGAGAAAATTGAGAGTGGTTAAAAACATAACCTATCTCTCATACATCACTTGTATTTATAATTAACCTACAATAATAAGAATTACACATACACCTCTTACTATTAACAATTTACACATACTACCCTACTAGTCTTAACAAACTTAAATTAAATTGATCCAACCAAACTACGGACGTAATGACGCATTTGTACCTTCTACAAATTACTTTACAAGATGACAAGGGTGCTTCATTATGTCCCACAACATACTTAAACTATGTATGCATACGAATATGTAAAGCATACATATGCATGAAAATTTGTGTATGTGTTTGTGCATCTGCAGGATATTTCCAGATGTACAATACCAAACCAGAAATTAATGTAAAACTGTAAAAGCATGGCGAAGAAGGGTACAAAATCATCCATGACCAATTTGACAATAACAAGAACTTAGAAAAATTTATTAAAACATTTATCTGTTTCCATTTACAAATAAAACTGACAGGCATGCCCGAACCAACCAACTTAAATTCAACAATACCAACTCAAACTTATTTAATGCTTAAATACATGTTGTCTGCACATAATACATACCGTTGGTCCTGCCAACAAAGAGGTTCCAGAATCGGCAATTGCTGAACAGCCACCAGAACAAAACCCTAAAAGAGGAAAGAGTTATCTCTCAAGAGCATAAGAAGCACAACTTGCTCCAATGATTTGATATGAAGCGGAAAACCTCATTCAATGTCTTCTAGCAAGGACAAACAGGGGCTCCATAAACTTACCAGTTGTTTCACCATCAACTAGGACATCACCCATGTCAAACTGAAATAGGAAAAACAATAAAATTCAACAAAAAATATAAAGTATAGTATGTTGATACATGATTACTCATGGCAAACAATTAGGAAGTCTAAGAAGGCCCACCTGCCAATAGCCTTTCTCGGTCACAGGAACATAGTTGTGCTCACCCTTGAAATGACTATAATCAACCCCACCAAAGACAATTTCACCCCCTTCTTCCTCGTCAGCATTGCGATTAAACCAAAAGGAAAAAACTGGTTTTTTAACAAGACCTTGATTGACCATATTGTCCCTAGACATATTGAAAATATCTCAACACAAAATATCATTATGCTGTCATGAGTATAAATGTTCGGAAGAAAAAAAGAAATCCATTCTTCAAAACGAAAGGTCTATCAGCAAGATCAATCTTATAATGACGGAATGGAATACAATAAGGGGAAAAGGCAAGAGTGTATCAGGTTTTTGATCAAGTAGTTGTCTTTGCAGGATGCACTAACATACCAGAGAGGAACAACATTTCCCACAGAGATCTCCTGAAATCCAAGCCCAAGTATGCCATCAAATTTTGCTGCCACGAATGTGATGCTTGGCTCTTTCGTTGCCTCGATAAAATCCTACTGACCAGAAGTTTCTTAACAGTAAAACTGTAACTATACTACTGAATCAACGATGTTCAGAATGCTCATTTGCCTGGGAATTACCTGATTGTTAACAACAAGATCACCAACTTTGATGGAGTCTTGGCTGAAGAAACCTGAAATAGATCCGCTTCCATATTGAATTGCAGCAGATTTGCCTGCATAAAAAACAAAGCCATGGGCAATAAAAAAACTATCTACACATACATTTGATAATAATATAAATTAAATTTCATCACTTATTATGATACCTCTAATATTGCCAAGTAACATCATCTAAGAGAATTGTAAAAAAGAACCAAATAATGTACCTACTTGTTAAAACTTTTAGTTTCGAGTTAAATGCTTTAAAGGATATGTGAGTTAACTTTGGGAATGACTTCCTTTTACTTGGAATGTGTATGTTCATTTGTTTTGCAAGTCCGCATTCCCATAGGGTTAGAAATTTTACAAACCCAGATAAAAATCAGTCCCCTAAATAGCCCACCTAAAGGCGGCTTCATAACCTACTCCTTTTGGGATCAAAATTTCATTCTTTTTTCACCGAAATATTTCATTTTCATGTAAATTGAAACAAATTAATGATTAAATATTAAAATTGAAATCATCAATACTTTTCTTTGTTTTTATTTTGTCTTTAACATACCCGAGCTGGTGGTCTATATATATCTAGAAACCCTACAATAAGGATTTACTAAATCTACACAAAGCCTATGAAGATTCTCCTTCTTCTGTGTTACTTTTTCTATTAGTCTCCCCAATAATTATGTAACTTCATAGTTGACCTGCTAGACATAAAACAAAATGCAATGATTTAAAACTATTGTTGCAATTCCTAATCATGCTTAACCACTCTATCCCACAACCATGCTATGTAACTCATCACTTTAGTACCTTAATAGTTGATACAACTTTGAAAGTCTTTTCTTTATATGTGGCTTCTAGAATACTCGATCTTTACTCATTAAAGGTGTTGAATTTTCTATAATCTTATTAAGATATTTTATAGGCCAAAACATTCTTCTTTCTCTTAAGTTCCAAGCCTTAATACAAATACCCTCAAGGCCGAAAGCCTAACATAATTTCATCTTCTTTATTGCAATTTTTACATTGAACACCCCTGTTATTTTCTTTAGTTCCTCCTAGGGCTACCCACCTTCATCCTCTGAATTTTTGTACCTTTTCACTTTCCAACTTTTAACAACAATTTTTCACCTTTGCTATAATTCTTCATCCTTAATGAACACTCACTAATATTCACTCTTCAGACACCTAATATATTTAATATCTCTTACACTCCTTTCATAAGAAAAGCTAGACTAGTAATTTTTTGGGAAAAAAAAATGGAAGAAAGGGAAAATGTAATATACGTCATATTCTAGTACTAAAGATGATGGAGTCCATTAATACACAATCTCACTAGAAATACAAATTTCTCTAAGAGTTTTCATAGAGAAACTAGAAAATGGAGAGTTACCTAAACAGAATAAAATGTTGCGAACTTGATAAAGAACTAGGAAGCATAGACACGACATTTCTTAAAAAAATAGAATTTTTTAGACACGATATGTCTAGTCATCTAGTGTGAATTTTGACTAAAGTATCATAATAGTTAAATAATCATAAATGATTTTTGTAAACAACGTGTACCCAACATAAGTCAAATGATTGCTCTCATTTTCTCTTATTTAAAACTTTTATGCATGTTTTACTTTTATTATTATATTTTGAGTACAACTTTAATATGTCTAATCTTGGGAATTATATGTTCTCTCATAGTATAAATCCTTATTAGTCAAAATTTTAAATTTTATTAGTCACATATGAACACATGTTTATTGTTTAATAATAGTAGATACAGTCTTTATCAAAGAAGTGTCGGACACGTTACCAAAAAAATGTCGGACGCATGCCCGAAATTAAGATTTTATCATTTAATTTTGAACACAGATAAAAGAGACACGTGTCCGAGGAGTGTTGGCGTCCGACATGGATATGTCACCTTCTTGAAAGTGTCCGTAATTCATATATAACGAATAAAGAACACAACAACCACGGATCATAGGTATAAGGACGAAACCCTTTCCACATTAGTGAGGCCTATGGTAATAACACGTTTCTTGTTCACATGATTATTTGTTGTTTTGACTTCTGGATTTGACTAGGTTGGCCCTAAAGCCAGGCTGCTTGGGCCCATAAACCTTTAAGACATAGGTTAGTTGAACACAATTTTGTTTTTAGACTTGGAAAGAATGTTTTAGACCATGTCACCCTAGTCCAAGTAAGTCTAATTTTGTTCTTAAGCCTAATCTTTTAAAAATCTAATAATCTCTCTCCCTCTCTCTCTCCCTCTCTCTCTCTCTCTCTCTTCTAAATAAGCTAAGTTCAATTAAGCCTAATCTTTTAAAAGACTCAAAACAAAATTTGTAGACCCAGATTCAATTAAACCCAATTTTCTTTTGGGCCCCTAGATGATCTCCTCTCCTCTCACCAATTAACACAACTCTATTTGATTCTCCTTCCCTCTCACCTTCCCTCTGCCGCTATCTTTCTCTATCCAATTTCTTCTCCAAAGCCCACTATTGAGAAAGGGACTACAATGCCAATGTCGATATGGATAGGTCTTTTTCACAGATTACTTGAATTCGATGTCATATTTCACAAATTAATCCGCTTATATAAATAAATATGTAAGTATATGATGAAATTAAGCAATTATTGATAAATTGAATTGAAAATTAGATGCAATTTGGTGACCAAGCTAAACTAATTTATTCTGATATGATCAAATTTCCAACTCTATCAATAGAGATATTGTAATCAAATGCGGATTCAAATAACACGAACCTTGATTGAAATTTGATCCTTGACAAACCTAGTCGTAAGTATGCACAATGTTTTAAGGCTCTCATCTAAAACATTATTTTATGCCTCAATTTGCATCAGGCTACCCTTGTGTTTGACTTCATTTAAGAAAAAACATTTTTTGTCCAAATATAGACCACTTTGGACCTCTTCAACCACATTCATTTAAATATAAGATTCAATCATCTACAGACATTTTCAGTTTACCTGATGACTAGATCACTAATAACTGACCAACATTACCAAAAAAATAAAAACAATAAAAGAGGTAACAAAATTGATAATGATAGTGTAACCAAGTAATTAAAAGAACCAGCAAGTGGAACCACACCATTCTTCTTGTAAGTACTCGAATGGCTTGACTTGTAGTAGGAATGCAAATAGCAAGCAACCTGCATCCATATGCTAAGTGAGGATTGCTACGAAAAAAAAGAGTGGGTAAAACTCTTTTAAGGAACTTTAAAAAATCAGTGAATAAAAACTCACCGAGAAATAACATTTTGCAGAGGGCACCCAAAGATTGGAACTTCCAGTGTCAAAAACCACAGTGAATTTTTGCGGGGGAGTGCCAATACCAATCTCTCCGTAATACTGAGCATCCATATAGTTCTTTAGTGTGACAATATCAGTGTTTGAATCACCTACATTGCCGCGAAGATGATAATTTCTTGTGGAAGCTCCCAATGACTCCCCTTCCTTGGTTGCTAAATGTCCTCTAAGTCTAGTGATGTCATCCAATTTTCTCTTTTTCAGTCCAACTCTCAACAGTCCATCATCAGATGCACAAAACACCGGAGGAGACAAAAGGCATAGGAGGAGGACACCAACCAGGAGCACTCTAAATAAGGAGTCCATGTCAAAGCTGAAAAATCCATTATTGAAATTTCTTCTTTAGAGATCACAAGAAGCACAGGATAGAAAAAAAAAACCTTCAGAAAAATTAAATATAAACGAATAACAAATGTAACTATAATGTTCTTAGTTATGAGAAATGAATGACAAAAATATTAAGGTCCACTGTGGTAATTTCTTTTATATTTCTTTCTTTTTGTACTCTTCTTAAGGAAAACCATTTCAAAAAAATTGGTGTTCATTTTTTGCCTCAAAAGTACTTAGGGAAATGCAAAAGATAAAAAACAAAGAAAAAAAATTTTCTCCAGGAAAAAAGGAAAGAAAGCGAGTGTTTTTTCTTTTCTTGTTCAAGTTAGTTCCCTTCGCCTTATCATGTCCACATTTATAATTGTACGCACACGCGGATTTACAAGTATGTCCATATGTTTGTTTGTGTGCACGTGTGCTTGTATACTAGCCTAAATACACCTATACCTATATAGTTATGCAAATATAATTGTCTCAATACAAATTTATAAGCATCTGTGTATCACCATACTACAATGTACATATTAAAGAAATTAAAAACCATTACCAAGTAGTGCATAAATTGTGAACAAGCCAATAAAACTCAGATCCCTAGTCATCAGAGTCTCAAGGTCCCTATGGAATGGTAATTCTGAAACGCATCACGACCAATTTACACTATTTTAATTATCTCTTACTTCTTCTTAAGATGCAATTAGTTTAATTTGGACTTCCTAAGAAAGCAATCTCTACTTACTTCCACTACTAAGTTGGAGACGGTATCTTCCCACAATGGCCTAAGCCATCAGCCAATGGACCCCTTCGACCTCCACGGCCAAGATATCGATTCACACATGCTTCTCTCTCTCTTATTTTCTCTGTCTACAATTGTATACGTTTATATTCATACAGGTGAAACTGAAAAGAATGCACTCTTGCACTAAAAAGTAAACACCCCATCATACGATTAATTTCACAAAATTTTCCTCTTAAAAATAAATGAGAAAACAGCAAAGATCAACCCAGAAAATTGTGGATTTCACTTTCTACCTAATTTTCTTCGGTTTTCTGGGCAACCGAACGAGGGCAAGATTAAGAATACCAGTACTGATCACTATACAACTTCAGAAAAAATGATATAATCCAATTCAAGAACATAAAAAACAGGAAAATGATAGAGAAGAAACAGGTTTTCACTCACCTGAGAATCGACCGTAGTGGAAGAGATGGAAGCGAAGCAGTAGGAGAGAAATGAATACACTAGTCAACGGTCGATAAGCTATGTAGTGGCGTGAGAGTGTTGCTATCTACCACCTTTTTGAATAAATAAATCAGAAATTTAGGTTGGGTTCGGCAACATTTTCAATTTTTAATTTTTAAAAAAATAAAAACTGAAATGATTTTCGGTTTTCAGTTTATGAAAAATGAAAATCGAAAACCTGTTTGGTTTATTAAAAAAAAAAAAAGAAAAACAGTAGTCTCTCTCTATCTCTGGGTTCTTTTCCTATCACTCAACCCATTTTGAAGAAAAAAATCGCTCTTTCTCTTTACATGTTAGCAGCAAAAGTTTCCAAGAATCCCAAGTTTCCTGCTGCCTAGTCTCCTATGAAATTTGATCTTGGTTAGGAGAGACTGCGTGAGTGAGAAACAGAGGGAGAGAGAGAGATTACTGGTTCACTTTCCTTTCTATCTCTAGCCCCTCTCCCCCCCTCTCTAAATTTGCTCATATGTGTAATTCTATGCAAATTACTGAGAGGTGAGACCAAAACATTGACAACAATTTGGTGGGTATTGAGCTATATATTCTAAGATCAGTATTGAGAAGGAATATGTTTGGTTGTGAGTGTGATTGCTGGGATAATGTTTTTGAAATCTACCCCTTTGAACCAAAACCCTTTGCTCTGCCTTAACGTCTACCACAATGGCCTCAAGGTATGCCTTTGAATACCAATATTATTTTTATTTCCTAGTTCTTGTGTGAAGATAATCTCCAGGATGGAGGATGAAGGTTTAAATATCGACAAAAACAGGGAAAAAAATTCTGAAAACCCTAGATTTAAGAACTTACCTTGGTAAGAAAGAGAAAGCGTTGAAGCTGTGTTAGATTGTGATCATGATACTAATCGTTTTAAAGGCTATTTGTTTCCTTTAAGGTAGGAGTGATAATTTTTGACACGACACGATAATCCGATACAAACACGACACGAATAAATGGGTTTGGGTTGACTAAATTTTTAATCCAATCCGTATATGACACGACCCGTTAACACGGAATGTTAATGGGTCGTATTCGAATTCAACCCGTTTAACCTGAATTTACCCAATTGACCCGTTGTATATTAATCGGGTTGACACGAACCCGACTGACATGTTTTGACCTAAAATTACCCACCTATATATAAAGAATTTAATTAATTTTTCTCAAACCCTAACTTCATTTCCTATTTTCCTCTATCCAGCAGCAATCAGCAGACCCACCTCCCTAGTCCCTCCTTCCCTCTGTCCAGTCCTTCCCGTCTCCCTCCCTCCCTCCCTCCCTCGGTCTCAACTTGGCGTCGGCGTCAACGACCAGTAGGTCCGATACCAGGTAAGCTCTCTCTCTCGCTCTTTCTCCGTCTTTCTCTACGAAGAATGGGTTTTTTGTGTGAAGAATTGGGGAAAAATTGGTGGTTGAGAAGAATGGATTTTTTGTGGGCAGTGTTTACATTTATTTAGGCTATTATGTCATGATCATCTGAAGATTTTGAACCTTACATGCATAAAAAATATGAAGTAATCAAATAATGGCATGATCCCCCTTTACCTGATGTCAAAGATTTTCCTTTTTAAGCTACTTCTCAACTAGATATTTGTGTATATCAAAATTCTAGAAAATAAAATGCCTTTTGGATTGCCTGCAAAAAGGGAAAAAAAAATATTTGTGAAGAGATGAGGACTTTGCCAAAAAAATTAATTTGTGAAGAGATGCCTTTTGGATTGCCTTTTGAATTTAATTAGTATAAAAAATGTGAGATGTTTTCTATTAACCCATCCAACAGGAAAATTCTGCAATTCTTGAAATGGTGTAGAGACCTCTCAGACTTGTAAAGTTTAAGGGACAATGATCCATTTGATGCATAGCTCAACCCATCAGAAGCGAGTCAGCCTCTAAAATATCATCAAGCAACCCAATGAAGTTGAGGCACCACAGAGAGGATGGCAATAAAATTCTTCAATCTTGATTAAAAAAAGGCTTTTTGATAGCTGGCTTTAAATTATAATGATCTTCAAAAAGTTAAGAAATGTAATCCTTACAATTATACAAAGACAAAAAGGAAAGGCAAAAGAAAATAGTTGCAAGTGGTAGCTCTCTTGTGACCAGACCGTGTCAGCTTAAATGGGTGCTTGATTATTCATATGTTCTTTCAGTTATTCATATTTTGAGGTTTCATGATTCCAATTTATACGATTGCTTCAGAATCAGCTTTTAGTATTGGTGGTCGGGTTCTTGATCAATATCGTAGTGCTTTGAAGCCTCACGTTGTGGAGGCCGTGATGTGCACTAGAGATTGGTTATGTGCAGAAAAATGTAATAAATATAATTTGTGATGATTGCGATATTTAAATATTTTTACAAATATTAAATTCTTATTTATATGCTTTCCTTATTGTCATTTAGAAAATTCACAAGTAAAATTGGAAGAGCTGATAGAAGATGTTATAAATCCGACTTTGAACAAAAATGAGGAGGATGCGTCGGTGCAATGTTCAAATGTGATTGTGGATCTTGATTGTTGATGTGTGTGAGTCATAAAACTTAACTCTTTTTTCTTAATCTTATGTGTTTGTTGATGTGTGTTGAGTCATAAAACCTAACTCTTTTTATGTGGGCTTTTTATAGGGGATAGTGGATCTTGATTGTTGATGTTAGCCAGATTTAAGAGATGAAGAGAATTTGAAAGATGCTTGTAATATTTCTTGGGGATTTTAGTAAAACTTTTTGAATATTTGTAATATTATGGAGATTTGTATTTGTTTTTGGGATATTTGTGATGTTTTAGCCTTTGTTTTATGTAGACTTGTATTTGAGATATTTGTAACATATCTAAATTTTTCCTTTTTTTGTTATGTCATGTCGGGTTGGGTTGTGTCAGTTGGGTCATGTTAGGCAGGTTGGGTCGTGTTTACCCAAACACGACCTGTGTAAATCTCGGGTCACAGGTCGTGTCAGGTTAATCGTGTTTCGAGTTAGGTCGTGTTCGTGTCTAAATGACCTAACCCGTTTAGCTCGCAGGTCATGTTTGGATTGATGTGTTTTCAACCTGAACCCGATATGACACGACCCGAACACGACACGACACGACACAATTGTCACCCCTACTTTAAGGGATGTATTCATGACTTTAATTATTGTCATCCACTACTTTTTTTTTATTGACACATTTTTGAAAGGCATGTATAGAAGTAATCTTCTATCGGCTACAGGAAAAAATGGCAACCAAAGTATAATTTAATACAATTTTTTGAATTATAAAATTTGTGGTTAAGTTATAATCGTTATGTTATACTATCTTTGTTACACTCTGTTTGTTATATTGTTACACTTTCATTGTTACACTTTCATTGTTACATTACGAGATGAACATAGTTAATAGTGAGTATATACATATGGTGTAATCAGACACAATTTTGATAATTAACATTCACCACACAACAATGTTTTAGAATTATCATTCACCATATTCATCTATTACACTATTTTTTATTTTAATTTTTCACGAATATTTATGTGCTTCATTTTTACAGGTTTGTTTCCTTTGGAATTTGATATGGTTGATTCGGAGAATGAAGCAAACTAGTTTTGATTTTTAGAATAGGTGTCTGATATATTGGATCAAGCTCAAGTTATTACGATTGTATCTGATCGCAACTTGGGTCTATTAGAGGCAATGCCGAAATTTTTTGCAAATGCTCATCATGCATTTTGCTGGTAGCATTTGAAAGCTAACTTGCGGGATAAATTGAGTGGTGCTCATTTTTCCAATTTATTCTGAGAACACATGGTGAGATTGTTACGTGAGTGTGCTTATACACCAACACAGTCGCTTTTTAATGAAAAGATTTCAACTTCCCATCGTATAGGTGGTTCTAATGTGGACAAGTTCTTGTCCAATCTTCCATATGAACATTGAACAAATGTTCATTTTACAAGGAAGCGTTTCTGTGAGATGTGTTCTAATAATATAGAATTGTTTAACGCATGAATTTTGAAAGCTTGACATTTATCTATTACTAGCATGGTTGACATAATTAGGGGACATATAATAGATCAAATTGACCAAATGATGAAAATAGCTTCGGAGTGGAATGAGAATTATGCCCTAATATGTCTTCGAGATTACAAGCTACATTTGATGAGAGGAGGTCCTGGACTGTGCGAGTTTTGAGTAACCAAGTGTATGAAGTGATGTTATATCCTTCGGTAACTGTTGATATTATGAATGACACGTGTTCATGTTGTCAATGACAAATAAATGGGTTCCCTTGTTTACGTGCGGTGTCAATAATACGAAAGAGTGGACGGAATATCAACGAATTTATTGATTATTACTATCATGTCAGTACATATAAGATGTCATATTCTGAACTCATTTATCCAATACCAACTATATATAGTGATGAAAGTTTAATATTTTGCCACCATCTACCAAGAAGCAATCTGGTAGACTAAAGAATCGTAGAATTCGGTCTAAGGGCGAACTCATTAGATGAATTCGTTGTGGCCAGTGTAGGCGTTTGGGCAGTCACAACAAAAAATCTTGTAATGGGCCATTGTAAACTTGTTTTATTGCTATCATTTAATGACATTGTTCAATGTTTTAAGTTGTTTACAATGTGTTTTTTCACTCTTTTGATGGGTTTGTTTGTTTTAGCTATTTTTTCACTTTGTAAGTTATATTTTTTTTTTTTGGGTTAGTCTGTATGCAACCTACACTGGTTTTGTATAGTGAATTAACACACTGTTGGAACATTGTATTGGATTTATTCAAAGTGTTACACTTTGACATGGTCTTGATTAATCAACAAGGAATAAACACATGTATCCCTGTATAGTCTGGATAATCACCAACCACCACACAACAATGTCACACAAACAAAATATGTACATTCATGTCTCATGTTACACTAATGTTCATTTGTTGAGAAAGTATGAGAGTATTACACTTTCAATGTTACCCTGTTATATTTTTTTATATTACACTTTGACATGATCTCCAATCAACAAGGAATAAAACATTTGTATCCCTGCACAGTCTGAATAATCATCAATCACCACTCATCACACGACAATATCACACAAACAGAATTTGTACATCCATGTCTCATCTTACACTAATATTCATTTGTTGAGAAACTGTGAAAGTGCTACACTTCAAATGTTACTCTGTTACACTTTGACATGATCTCCATTAATCAACAAGGAATACAACACATGTATCTCTGAACAGTGTGGATAATCACCAATCACCACTCACCGCACAACAATATTACACAAACAAAATATTTATATTCATGTCTCATGTTACACTAATGTTCATTTGTTGAGAAAGTGTGAAAATGT